GTCAAATGACAGATACAATATTCGGAATCTGGATTCTACTTGTAACAGTGGAGTGAAGGTCAGCGGAATCTGAGGGGCTGATATCGTGTATCTTGTTGCCAGGCTCGCTGCTGTGAGTCTTTCCAAGGCAACTGGAGCTAGTTTAGGTAGGGTATCACCTTTGCATATGAAAGGAATTAATAAGGCCAGTGAAGTGTCCCTTGAGATCCAAAAAGCACTATATTTAAACCGATGGCAATTATTCTTTAGTATTATTTCCTAGTGTTACCTCGCAAATAACACCCGAGCGTTGCACGTAACGTTATGGCGGCCTATTGGCGGTAGCAAAGCTTTTAGGCGCTCATTCTTACTCCTTTTTTTCCTGTCTATCCATAGTGCACAACGTTGACCGGGAAAAATAGCGCATTTCATCAGCAGCATGTAAAATGTGCTGGTGTACAATTTCATTTGTTGCATAGACAGCAGGTGAAAGTATACATGCCTTTTGTGCACAAAGGGATCCGGGCTTATAAATGTCACGATAAGAAAACTCCAACATTATTAATAACTCCAATGCTTGTTTCTTGCATGATCTGGTATCCTGTTTCTTCTTATATGTTTCTGTTTTTAATTTTTCTCTAAGTGATCAAATAAATGTGTAAAACTCTTTGATTGCATATCTTTAGAATGATTTGGAATGTCAGCCTTAATCAAAACTTTAAACGTGGACAATCTGGATAAACAAATAATCAAAACAACATGGAGCTCTGCACACTATAATTTCATTCTTCTTCAGAGAAGACTGCTTTCTCCACAGGTACTGATTCGTTGGGTGCTAGCCACAAGGGCTATAGTTTAAGGACCCAGGGGTTTATTTTCGATTCATTTTTTAAATTAATGTCTTCCAAGTTTGTATACTGGCCTGGTTTAAAATGTTTATATCAAAGGTTTTGCTTATGAATTATGTCAATACTTGCTATCTTATTTTTCTAACATGTTTCTGTTTCTCCTCATTTCTTTTCTACGGCCTTCTCTGACGTTCCATGTGATCTACTTTAAGGTAAATCTGATATCCATTTTTGTCAGAAAACGGCCATAGCCAATTTTTTTGGATTACTGTAGTAATCAAAACAAAGTTTGGTCACTGATGTAGCAGTATTTGGCCTTTAATACAACATGACCTGCTTCGGGATATTTGCTTATGGACTGGTAACGTCTGGACCAAACCCTCATCTCTCCCTTTCATAAGAGCGTAAGAACATAGAGTTCTTACGCTCTTATGTTCTTCCAGTGTCCTCATAGTGAACGACACGTTTAAACTAGGTCATATACGTTTCGTGTTACCACTTGTGTTTACATATATTATGACCGAGTGTCCAGTTAGAAATTTGGAGTCTGTGTGTTGGGAAGAATGACATATTGCTTCAACTCAGCCTGGATTTATTTTAACAACTTTTCATCCATAAATGAATAGTCACTTTGTCAATTTACTTTATCTACTACTTATCACTGCTCTATTTAACTGTACATACGACAGTACTGAATACTACTATATATATTGTGACTGGTATCGAATCATTTCAGCATTCTACAGCTAGTTAAGTTAGCTAAGAAACTTAGCTACTACTATATATGTATAATTGTGGTTGCTCCCTGTGTGCTCTTACTACTGTCCTAAAGCTGCACACATCGAAATTTCCCCACTGTTGGACGAATAAAGGAATTCCTTAATATTATCTTATCTTTTATATTTTTTTTCTGATGAAGCAGACTGGATGAACGATCTGAACATGACATATAACATGCCCGCTGATCTTAATCACAAAAGATAGAAAAGATATAGAATTTAATGTGACTGGAAGCTGTGGTTGGGGTGGACTAACAAGTCTCCTGGGAAGAACAGGAAATACTGGCTGAAGTCTGGTTCTTATTAAGGTTTTTCAGCTGGCAGACATAAATCAGTCCCTCAGGCTTACCCAAGACTAAGTCTGTGTGTAATTAAGAATACTAGATTACAGTATAGTGAACAGACAGACTAGAAACATATATATTTCTTTTTTATTTACGCTTTATTTAACCCAAACATACATATTCTCACATATTGTTTTAATAAATCGATTAATGTGTTGGTTGATATGGCAACATTAGCACGTGATTTCAGTTTGAGCCCTAAAGAGCTAACCAATCATATAACGTGATAATCCCGCTAGACAAGTCCATTTGTCTGCATAAACAAACAGGGAGTGTGTGGGCAATCTAGCAACAAATTATAAGAAATGAGAGTTGTTCTTTGACGAACATTTGCATTGTTTCAGTCATCAGCTCATTGCTCAAATCAATGGTAGGGTTGACAGCCCGATGTAGACAAAATGGCTTGTTCACATTTGAATATTGGCAGATGCGGACACTCCTTCCCTATTACATATTTGTTGTTTATGTTCTTTTGTATGTGTTTGATGTATACTTACCAAAAAATGACAGATCATATCAAGGCACATGGATACATAATTTATTTTTTTTTTTTTTTGATCCACACTTTTATACACGTGCAGTCTGATCTGGAAGCAATAAGCTGCTCCACATCATAAGTCAAAGCTTTATTTTCTTACAGAAGATATTCAATCCAATGCACTGGATAAAGCCTCTTTCATTCGTGCTATGGATGTTGTTATCGAAAGTTATGTTTTTTCTTAAATTGGCTCCTTTACCTTTGCATTGTGTCATACGGTTGGTCCCCACATACTAATGTCAGTTAAACAAAATTGCACCACTGTCCACAGTCCGTTGCTGGGTACTCCACTGTGTAACGAGAATTGTTGGTTTAATGTTATCAACAATGACCTTTTTCTCAGTAGATCTGCACATTAGACCAATGTGTCATCCAGTCAAGTTTCCTCAGGCTATCTCCTCAGCCTTTACACAAACCTCTTGCCAATAAGTGAGGTGGGAACGTAGATTTAAGGTAAAGAGCGTTCTTCTCCACCGGATGCAGGCCTGGAGTTGGTGCTTGTGTGTGAGTGCATGTTGCTGGGTATTGCCCCAATCCTGGGGCCTGTCCGAGCTATACCAGAAGACATGACTTGAGTTCGCCCTCCTGTGCCATCTTTGCACCTCTTTAAAAAAAATATAGATACCAAAAAATAAATACACACGACAAACACTTGTAACATTTAAGACGTTGGTCTCTCTGCCATGCAAAGCACATCCAAGATTTGGTGGGCCCACTGAAGCCCCAAAAGGGTCTGATTAAGTGCTCATTACATTTTCAGCACTATAAAGCTCTCAGGTTTTGGTTAGTGAAACTCACATGTATACGTTCTAAATTCCTTTATCCGGATATAGAATATCTGTTTGCGAGAATGAGAGAGACCAGAGAGAGAGAGACCAGAGAGAGAGAGACCAGAGAGAGAGAGAGACCAGAGAGAGAGAGACCAGAGAGAGAGAGAGACCAGAGAGAGAGAGAGACCAGAGAGAGAGAGACCAGAGAGAGAGAGACCAGAGAGAGAGAGACCCGAGAGAGAGAGACCAGAGAGAGAGAGACCAGAGAGAAAGACCAGAGAGAGAGAGACCAGAGAGAGAGACCAGAGAGAGAGAGACCAGAGAGAGAGACCAGAGAGAGAGACCAGAGAGAGAGACCAGAGAGAGAGACCAGAGAGAGAGACCAGAGAGAGACCAGAGAGAGACCAGAGAGAGACCAGAGAGAGAGAGACCAGAGAGAGAGAGAGAGAGAACAGAGAGAGAGAGACCAGAGAGAGAGACACCAGAGAGAGAGAGACCAGAGAGAGAGAGAGACCAGAGAGAGAGAGACCAGAGAGAGAGAGACCAGAGAGAGAGAGACCAGAGAGAGAGAGACCAGAGAGAGTGAGACCTGAGAGAGAGAGACCAGAGAGAGAGACCAGAGAGAGACCAGAGAGAGAGACCAGAGTGAGAGACCAGAGAGAGAGACCAGAGAGAGAGACCAGAGAGAGAGAGACCAGAGAGAGAGACCAGAGGGAGACCAGAGAGAGACCAGAGAGAGACCAGAGAGACCAGAGAGAGAGACCAGAGAGAGAGACCAGAGAGACCAGAGAGACCAGAGAGAGAGAGACCAGAGAGAGACCAGAGAGACCAGAGAGAGAGACCAGAGAGAGACCAGAGAGAGAGACCAGAGAGAGACCGAGACCAGAGAGAGAGAGACCAGAGAGAGACCAGAGAGAGAGACCAGAGAGAGAGCAGAGAGAGACCAGAGAGAGAGACCAAAGAGAGACCAGAGAGACCAGAGAGAGAGACCAGAGAGAGAGACCAGAGAGAGACCAGAGAGAGAGACCAGAGAGAGACCAGAGAGAGACCAGAGAGAGACCAGAGAGAGACCAGAGAGAGACCAGAGAGAGACCAGAGAGAGACCAGAGAGAGAGACCAGAGAGAGACCAGAGAGAGACCAGAGAGAGACCAGAGAGAGACCAGAGAGAGAGAGACCATCCTGCCCTTCTCTACACTAAAGCGAGACCAGGTAGAGGGTAAACTCTGGCTTTAATCGTATCAAGATAAATTATTTTCTCAGTCCTTTGTGTGATTTGAATGTTTTAAATCCTTGACATTTCACAAAGAGAAAGAAACAGTTTTACATTGTTTACATAAAAACGGAGAGGGAGGGAAAAAAAGATTAAATCAACTAAACATTTAAATATAAAATAATACTATGAGTTTATAGCTACTCCATTGTTCAAATAAAAGTGCTTCTTTAGTTTTAATTGTGTTTTGAAGATGATTTTGGTGTTTAATGAGATGGATTGTGACCTGTGGTAACGACAAAGACTGAACAGAGACTTTGGGACTGTGCCTCGCAGCTGAAGAAGCCACGGCACAAACACAAGCTTTACTCAAACGCTCCTCGTAAACAAGAAGCACAGACGGAACTATTCTTGGACGTTCTGAAGTTTCCAGGTCCCATTCCCTTTCACATTTCCCCCTCATTTAGCCGTTAGCTTCCCGTAGGTTTAGCGTGTCTTGTTTACATGTGTCTGGAGCAGAAGGTTCAACGCTCACCCATTGAAAGCCACGATGTACCGCAGGAGAAGCCGGCGCTCATTGTTGGGGAATTTGCCGAAGAGGAAGAAATGCTTTCCCGACAGGAAGTCTGAAAAAAGCATCATTCAAACAGAGCTTTACAAAAGTGCAATTACAGACGGGTCAGAGAGAAGACGGGACCGGGACAGGAACACAAAACACCAGCAGCGGCGTTTTAGCTTCGCCGCAGAGTGAAAGGGAAACACAAACACAAAGGTACCTGGCAGCTCGGGGATGGGGTAGTCCTGATCTGCTTCTGCGTCTGTGTTCTCGTCTGTGGAGGCAGCGTATGGGTCCTCCTCCTCTTTCACCTTCACTGAGGCCGCTTTCTTTTGCATGTTCTCCTTCTCCACTCTGAAGGACACAGGGACACGGCCTATGGTTAGGTCTGTCTAAAGGCATCACGGAGGCACGAGGATTTATGTTTGTATCCTCTTTATTTTATTGTTTTCCATAAACTAAGAGACTGAGGCAGTGGCATGGTCGTTAGCACTCTCGCTTCTCAGCAAGAAGGTCCTGGGTTCAAATCCCGGATGGAACAGAGCCTTTCAGAGTATGTTCTCCCTGTGTACAATGTACAATATGTCTGTGCAGAGTGAGAGATAAATGTAAAAACAATTGTGGTGCTTTGTGAGTTCTGTAGCAGTTCAGTGTTCATGGTTTCACACTGGTCCAGACCAGAGCAGAGAGGATTCATGGTTTCACACTGGTCCAGACCAGAGCAGAGAGGATTCATGGTTTTACACTGGTCCAGACCAGAGCAGAGAGGATTCATGGTTTTACACTGGTCCAGACCAGAGCAGAGACATTGGTCTGAACCGAGCTCTGCTGCTGTGACCTGAAGGACTGTAGTATTTAATATAATTGTTGTTAGATACTTTTAGAATGATGTATTTTATTAGTATTGTTTGTTTGTTTGGATGTGTTTCTGCTGCACACCTGATCCATATCTATCTGAGATTAGTTCCAACGCAATCATTTTAAGACAGAAATCTTAATATTGACGTCTTCAGTAGTTGCAGGGACGAGGAATGTTAACCAACTATCAAGTTAAACCTAGCATACACAAGTACATGGTCTTCTCTCATGACCTTTCACCCCTCATCACGATCTTAGATTATGACATCATCATCATGTTTACCTCTGGAGTTCGTCTTCAGTGTCTGCTCCTGATTCATCTTCATCATCGTCACCTCCTGTCACAGACAAATGCCATGATACTTGGGCCACACTTCAGTATTATATTAATAACAACATTATGATACCGACAGTGTGTGATTGTAATGCCTTTGATGAGGGAAATCAAAGAGAGAGAGCAGTTCTTTCCTAAACCTTTAACTGAAGTGAAAAACCGTATCCTTGAACATTCAGAACTTCATTATTCTCTGAACGGACGACCTCACAGACCCAAAGCTCTTTACAAAGTTCAGACATGGTTCCAATCTCTCCACACGGTGATGACCAAAGTGAAGCCTGAACACACTGGTCCATCAAAGCCTCCGACCAAACACATCCATTCACTCTCTACTTTCAGATCTATTGTACATGTTTATAATGATAGGGGAAACTGGAGCACCCGGAGGAAACCAACAGACACTCTGTTACTATACGTGTGCGACACTGTGGTTGAGTGGTTAGCACTCTCCCTTCTCAGCAAGGAGGTCCTGTGTTCCAATCCCGGTCGGAACAGGGAGTGGAGCATGCATGTCCGGGTGCTCTGGTTTCCTCCGGGTGCTCCGGTTTCCCCCACCACTAAAAACATGTACAATAGTCTCCTGCTCCATCTCTGTGTGAGTAAGAAACAAACGTAACAATTGTAAAGTGCTTTGTGACTCTGGTCTGTGAAAGGCGCTATATAAATAAACATTACTGACTTATACAAAGTCCACAGAGAAAGGCCTGGAGGTGGAGTTAAACCCAGGACCTTCTGGCAGAAACGAGCTTTAACCACTGCCACTGTGCGACCCATAGTGACAGATAATCATTTAAATATCACAGACTTTTCTCAACTGCATTGATCTAAAACAGAGCACGAAACACATCCAAAGTCAACAGAATGGATTCACCTCCTGCTGCTGCTGCTGCTGCTTCTGCTCCTGCTGCGTACACTAGATCTGATGGTTCTGTAACAGCTCAGTGTACCCTACCCCCTAACCTGTACCTGTACCTAACCCTAACCTGTACCTGTACCTGTACCTAACCCTAACCTGTACCTGTACCTGTACCTAACCCTAACCTGTACCTGTACCTGTACCTAACCTGTACCTGTACCTGTACCTAACCCTAACCTGTACCTGTACCTGTACCTAACCCTAACCTGTACCTGTACCTAACCCTAACCTGTACCTGTACCTGTACCTAACCCTAACCTGTACCTGTACCTAACCCTAACCTGTACCTGTACCTGTACCTAACCCTAACCTGTACCTGTACCTAACCCTAACCTGTACCTGTACCTGTACCTAACCCTAACCTGTACCTGTACCTGTACCTAACCCTAACCTGTACCTGTACCTAACCCTAACCTGTACCTGTACCTGTACCTAACCCTAACCTGTACCTGTACCTAACCCTAACCTGTACCTGTACCTAACCCTAACCTGTACCTGTACCTGTACCTAACCCTAACCTGTACCTGTACCTAACCCTAACCTGTACCTGTACCTGTACCTAACCCTAACCTGTACCTGTACCTAACCCTAACCTGTACCTGTACCTGTACCTAACCCTAACCTGTACCTGTACCTGTACCTAACCCTAACCTGTACCTGTACCTGTACCTAACCCTAACCTGTACCTGTACCTGTACCTAACCCTAACCTGTACCTGTACCTGTACCTAACCCTAACCTGTACCTGTACCTAACCCTAACCTGTACCTGTACCTGTACCTAACCCTAACCTGTACCTGTACCTAACCCTAACCTGTACCTGTACCTGTACCTAACCCTAACCTGTACCTGTACCTAACCCTAACCTGTACCTGTACCTGTACCTAACCCTAACCTGTACCTGTACCTGTACCTAACCCTAACCTGTACCTGTACCTAACCCTAACCTGTACCTGTACCTGTACCTAACCCTAACCTGTACCTGTACCTAACCCTAACCTGTACCTGTACCTGTACCTAACCCTAACCTGTACCTGTACCTGTACCTAACCCTAACCTGTACCTGTACCTGTACCTAACCCTAACCTGTACCTAACCCTAACCTGTACCTGTACCTGTACCTAACCCTAACCTGTACCTGTACCTAACCCTAACCTGTACCTGTACCTAACCCTAACCTGTACCTGTACCTGTACCTAACCTTAACCTGTACCTGTACCTGTACCTAACCCTAACCTGTACCTGTACCTAACCCTAACCTGTACCTGTACCTGTACCTAACCCTAACCTGTACCTGTACCTGTACCTAACCCTAACCTGTACCTGTACCTGTACCTAACCCTAACCTGTACCTGTACCTGTACCTAACCCTAACCTGTACCTGTACCTAACCCTAACCTGTACCTGTACCTAACCCTAACCTGTACCTGTACCTAACCCTAACCTGTACCTGTACCTGTACCTGTACCTGTAGTCTGAACGGTGTAGTCTGAACAGTGTGTATAGTCTGAACAGTGTGTATAGTCTGAACAGTGTGTATAGTCTAAACAGTGTGTGTAGTCTAAACAGTGTGTATAGTCTGAACAGTGTGTATAGTCTGAACAGTGTGTGTAGTCTAAACAGTGTGTATAGTCTGAACAGTGTGTATAGTCTGAACAGTGTGTATAGTCTAAACAGTGTGTATAGTCTGAACAGTGTGTATAGTCTGAACAGTGTGTGTAGTCTGAACAGTGTGTGTAGTCTGAACAGTGTGTATAGTCTGAACAGTGTGTGTAGTCTAAACAGTGTGTGTAGTCTGAACAGTGTGTATAGTCTGAACAGTGTGTGTAGTCTGAACAGTGTATAGTCTGAACAGTGTATAGTCTAAACAGTGTGTGTAGTCTGAACAGTGTGTGTAGTCTGAACAGTGTGTATAGTCTGAACAGTGTGTGTAGTCTAAACAGTGTGTGTAGTCTGAACAGTGTGTATAGTCTGAACAGTGTGTGTAGTCTGAACAGTGTATAGTCTGAACAGTGTATAGTCTAAACAGTGTGTGTAGTCTGAACAGTGTGTGTAGTCTGAACGGTGTAGTCTGAACAGTGTGTGTAGTCTGAACAGTGTATAGTCTGAACAGTGTGTGTAGTCTGAACAGTGTATAGTCTGAACAGTGTGTGTAGTCTGAACAGTGTGTGTAGTCTGAACAGTGTGTGTAGTCTGAACAGTGTATAGTCTGAACAGTGTGTAGTCTGAACAGTGTGTGTAGTCTGAACAGTGTGTGTAGTCTAAACAGTGTGTATAGTCTGAACAGTGTGTATAGTCTGAACAGTGTGTGTAGTCTGAACAGTGTGTGTAGTCTAAACAGTGTGTATAGTCTGAACAGTGTGTATAGTCTAAACAGTGTGTGTAGTCTGAACAGTGTGTGTAGTCTGAACAGTGTGTGTAGTCTGAACAGTGTGTGTAGTCTGAACAGTGTGTATAGTCTGAACAGTGTGTATAGTCTAAACAGTGTGTGTAGTCTGAACAGTGTGTATAGTCTGAACAGTGTGTGTAGTCTGAACAGTGTATAGTCTGAACAGTGTATAGTCTAAACAGTGTGTGTAGTCTGAACAGTGTGTATAGTCTGAACAGTGTGTGTAGTCTGAACAGTGTATAGTCTGAACAGTGTATAGTCTGAACAGTGTATAGTCTAAACAGTGTGTGTAGTCTGAACAGTGTGTGTAGTCTGAACGGTGTAGTCTGAACAGTGTATAGTCTAAACAGTGTGTGTAGTCTGAACAGTGTGTATAGTCTGAACAGTGTGTGTAGTCTGAACAGTGTATAGTCTGAACAGTGTATAGTCTGAACAGTGTATAGTCTAAACAGTGTGTGTAGTCTGAACAGTGTGTGTAGTCTGAACGGTGTAGTCTGAACAGTGTGTATAGTCTGAACAGTGTGTGTAGTCTGAACAGTGTATAGTCTGAACAGTGTGTAGTCTGAACAGTGTGTGTAGTCTGAACAGTGTGTGTAGTCTGAACAGTGTGTGTAGTCTGAACAGTGTATAGTCTAAACAGTGTGTGTAGTCTGAACAGTGTGTGTAGTCTGAACAGTGTGTATAGTCTAAACAGTGTGTATAGTCTAAACAGTGTGTATAGTCTAAACAGTGTCTCCCAAAGTGGGGTCCGCGGCCCCCTGGTGGGCCGCGAGGGTACTGCAGGGGGGCCGCGGGAGGTCATAAAAAATAAACAAATAATATAATTATTTAATGTTAAATTTATAATGTGTTGTTTGTAATATTAAAATATTTGTGTTCATTATTTGACTTGAATAATCCACTGTAATCATTTTTGTATTACAATGTTTGTAGCAGAGGCTATTTCCCCAAAATAAAATAACCAGAAGAGCCTATTCTTAATGTTGTCTTCTTGGTTATTATTTTGGGGGGCCACGCAGACCCGTCAGATTTTTAAGGGGGCCTCGGTGTTACTGAGTTTGGGAATGGCTGTTCTAAACAGTGTATATAGTCTAAACAGTGTGTGTAGTCTGAACAGTGTGTGTAGTCTAAACAGTGTGTGTAGTCTGAACAGTGTGTAGTCTGAACAGTGTGTGTAGTCTAAACAGTGTGTGTAGTCTGAACAGTGTGTAGTCTGAACAGTGTGTGTAGTCTAAACAGTGTGTGTAGTCTGAACAGTGTGTGTAGTCTAAACAGTGTGTGTAGTCTGAACAGTGTGTAGTCTGAACAGTGTGTGTAGTCTAAACAGTGTGTGTAGTCTGAACAGTGTGTGTAGTCTGAACAGTGTGTGTAGTCTGAACAGTGTATAGTCTAAACCAGGGGTGCTCACACTTTTTCAGCATGCGAGCTACTTATAAAAGGATCAAGTCAAAATGATCTACCTACTACAAAAATGCAAATCATATATTTATTTCAAAAAATATTCTTTATACCTACAATATATGTTTATGTACATGCAAAACCGCATGAGCCAATATAGCACAACACAACACAATTACCTATGTACATTTTTTGTCATTACCCGAGTTTACTCTGATGACTTGCACTGAATTGAATCGGCCAGGGAGGCATAGTCCGGAAAATTGGTGGTAACTCGCTGACAAGTTTGTCGTGGTTTA